ATACCCCTGAGTTAGGTCTATGGATGTAAATACCGTAGCACATTTCATTCGTCTCAGTAACTCGTTTATACGAGGGAGATGGAAACTATGAGTCGGCAATAACTTATTTATTGGATCAATATCTAGACATACTCTGACTTTCTTAAATGTTCCGTCAGAGTTGTGTTGATCAACTGCCAATAATGCTATGTTAACTGGCGTTTGTTGGTAATTGATTTCGATTACCCCATCGGATAACCATTTCTCAACTTGTTCTTTAACTACAGCTTCGTGTCTCCAAGAAACATAGTTTCTTGAAGGGTATCTGAGCTTAGTAAAGTCTATCTTGGTTAAGTCAAGGCTGACATATCTGTCGTTAAAACGGAATTTTGTCCAATCTGTGATCTTTATCTTCTTATTTACTAGAATCAGGTCCATGATTTTGTCCGCAAAGTTAGGAATTAATGCCTTGACTGTGTCTAACGGGGGCTTATATGGTTTCAGACAGTTATCGTCAGATTGATCCTTTAATGGATCTACGTTATTTGGTAAACTAGTTACGGTTATACCTAGAGTGAGTAAATCACTCACTCCGACTATTAAGTCGTACTTCTGTGACATCTTAAATATCACAGCTTGGGTAGTGATATTTCTATCATCGGCCAGGGAGATTTTAACATCTGTGGCCATGGTATCACACTTAGAAGTTTTGTCATCTGCTAAGATTAGGTGAGTAGTTTAAGTTCGCCTTTCAATGTCTTTTATTAATGCAAAACGGTCGGATATACATGAAATTTCTGAACCAGAATCAATCAAGGCAAGGACTTTATTTCCATTGCAATATACAGGGATTATTACACGCTAGTCTAAAGAGTCGTTGTATTTCCTTTGTAATAATCGAACCTGGCAGTACTTTTACTCCAACTTAATGTTGGGCTTTTTGTCACAAGACTTGGCTTGATAGCCATTGGTCTTCTCACACTTGTCACACTTAGTAAGAAAATGTTTACAGGTGGGTGCATGTCTGCCATTCCAATAACCGTTAGGGGTCAATTGGTACGTGTCACACCCACACTGTGCGTCGGCACATTTCTTAATCTCCTTAAATGGAGGTTACTTGTTCTTCGTCTTTGTCCCATATAATTGGGGACTTTTCTTTCTCAGTTTCGTCAGAAGAATTAGTGGGGGCGTCTTGAGACGTGTCCCTTGTCTCACTTCTTGGCTTCGTAAATGCAAGCTTCGAAGTTGAGGCAATAGTTGGCCTTCGGGCTCTATCTGTAGGACTAGTTTCCTTAATCGGAGTGACTACATTCTTATTCGAGGCATTGTCCTGACTATTATTGTCGGAGACAAGTGATTCGGCTACGGTGCGGTTAAACGCATCGGCAGCAGCAGCGGTTGCTTCTGCGGCAGCGGTAGCTGCTGCAGCGTTAGCGGCTTCTCTTTCCATCTTTTTACGTTCGGCCTTGCGTTTCTTTGCAGGCGTATTGTCTTTCTTTGTCATAATCTTAACTTATGACTTCAGTCTTATTCTCCTAAGGAATGACTGTGCTTAGAAAAAAATTCGTGGTAGTTATCTACCTTTACGTTTAAGTAGTCTAACTAGTTAATACCTTTGCTAACTTTGAAATGTGTAAGATTCGGTCTATCAAGGCGATATTAACGCCTTAGAGTAATTAAACGCTTAGGTTGAGTCTAAGTATAGTTAAATTCGAAATAAATAAACGAAATGAGATTTTTAGTAAAGTTAGGTATGCCTCGTGAATACAGCAATACTCTGAAGGATTGTGAGGCTGAGACATTACCTATATATAATCCTCTCAGTACTGTTTTCGCCGAAGAGATTTTATTTAGTGTTTCGATGTCGCTCTATTAGAAACTACAGGATGTTTCGTTGGGGCGAATCTGAGAGACTCATAAAATCCTATCTTTAGAAAAAAACAAAGAAAAAAACGAAAAAAAACTCCTGATGTCCATAGTTATTGCATTAACCAATAACTTGCCACTTATCAAGAATTACCGACTTAGCCTTTATCAGACTGTCATATCTGGTTGGCTGAACGGAGGATAAACTAAGCAACGCTAATAGTCCTTAAAAGCCTATGTTCGGTTGAGCCATCTCGCTACCGAAGTATTCAGATATAAATAGATTTGGAAAGTAAATATAGTTCTATGAATAGAACTAGACCAAATTTTATGTTTGGTATTTTACTTGGGCCTTTTAATGGCCTTGTCCAAATATCTGATATATATAATGGAAAAGGTATTAATTAATAAAACCGTTAAAAACCATTTAGGAAACTTAAGTTCCTCGTACTATTAAGAGTACGTTTATAGTTACGTACTGCTTAATAGTACGTTTATAACACAGAGTCTAATGTGGAGGCCTGGTTATTATCGATTGGAAACTTCGGAAAATAGCCTGACGTCCGAAACCACAACCCGAGAGAGCTGAGACACACACGACACACACACATGCAACCGGCAAGTGCTAAACTAGAATAGCGTACATAATAATAGAATCACAGGGAGAGAGAAAAAAAATTAGAAGTAACGATATACATAGAATAAGAAAGCATATAATATTTAATAAACAAGTCTTGTAAATCATTTATTTACTATCATCCCGGTGGATGTTCCAGAGGTTGGTACGCTACTTAGTAGGTCAGCAAGCAAATACATGTCACATTCGATGGTATCAGTGTTTTGTCAGCATCGGCCCGAATTGACTCAGCGCATATCTGTAAAAATAGCGGGTTCCTAATAGTAGTTGATAAGTTAGCGTATATTATAAACGTATAAACGTACTAACGTTTATACTTATAATACTGGAATACGTTTAACGAATTGTACAGGAACAAGAACTGATAAATTCAAGATTCTTAACATGTGGCAGTACTCAGTAGAGTATGGGACTCTACTGTGGACAATTAGGTGGTTTTCCAAATATAAATTGGGTTTTCCACTGAAATTAGAATTGCACATAATAAAGGATCGACACCAATCTGACACCTGAAAATTACACTTTGCGAATCTCTAATTAATGGGAGTACTATGAGAGAGGGTCTCAGGCATGAAATGGTTGTTGGTACAAACATATGGTATAATTCGATAAAGATCTCAGAGCAAGGTAATCCACTGAGAAAAGGACAGGATCAGAGTTGTTAGAATTTAGGACAACACGGTTTTGATTCCGCCTAGTCAGCCAACTAGATGTGCCCGTCTATGCCTTAAATGGGATGAGGAGCTAGGTACCAAGTGTTGGGGTTTAGGTGCATATGTATACTGCACCAGCTTAGTGTTTTGATTTTATTTTTATTTTCTTAAGTTGGACTTAGAGATATTTTATTGGTTAGTTTGATTAGGTTATTGTTTCGAGGCGTGAAGTGCAAACTATGCGTCCAATGAAATGATATCTAGTCTTAGTAACTAAAACATAAATATATCTAGACCGAAGTAGTGAGTAATTAGAGCGGAGCATATAGACAATAGTCTCAGTCTAAAATCCTTTAATAGTTTGCTTTGCATTTTAACGTATTCTCGTATTGTCTTATTAACGTAAAATTCTTGGTATCGTATAGTCAGCCTAGAGGAGACGGACTTTTACATATCCTCCATGGTCGACTCACTTGGCCCAAGCTTCAAACGGGAATTTTCTGACCACTTCTTTCCATCGATCTTTCCCGAAACACTACAACGACTATGAGAGCCATTCCATATGTTCTTACATTGTAACATACATACATTGTAACTTATCTTTTTTGAAATAAATAGTATTATCCATATATGCATATAGAAAAATTTGAGGAGAAGTAACAAATTACACTCAGGTACTCTCGGGCTGATCCATCTATAATAGATTAGTAAGAAAACTAGTCTCAAATTACTCTCTGACTGATGGCGTAATTCAACAGAAACGTATTTAGAAATACGTCAAATTATGTAGTCTCTCACTTCACCTCAATTTTACAATTAAGAGCTGAAGGCTGATGGCCGAAGCTGAAGACCTATATTGTTCAATTGTTGACTGATAGTTTTACTAGAAACATTACACAAAGAAATCGTATAAAGCAAAATCAAGACAGAAATTGATCCCTTCCATGGACCCAGTCAGTCCGTGTTGTCCACAGAAGTTAGAATTAGGTACTAAACCAAAACTCAAGCTCTTGCGATGGAAAAGTTATTGTTCGGTAAAAAACCAATAAAATCACACATGACATCAGAATACGAGGGATTGACGCAGTCAGTTTGTGCAGCCAACAGAAGCTACTGTCAGTCTATGTTGTCTACAGAAGTAACAAATAGGTACTATACCATTTCCACATTGGGGGAACATAAAAAACTCAAGTTATTGTGGTGAAAAAGTTACTGTTCGGTAAAAAGCCAATAAAATCGTACATAACATCAGAATACGAGGGATTGCCAATGTCAAATTATGTCTAGCCAAAACCAAATATTTTAAATTAAGACTAAGATTACGAAAGAAACTATGTCTAATTACAATCACATATGACCAAATATGACTATTATCGCAAATGATAAAACAAGTATAGCAAAATTTCATATGAGAAAATAAGTTTGTCAAACACAAAAACACATCATCAATGACAAAATAGAAAACAACAAGCTGTTGATCAATACAAATGGGTAGACACTTCAAACGAAAGTGAAACAACGTGTGTACAATAACAACAAAGATACTTATTTAAAACAATTTCACTTTACACGTTATCAGCAAAGACAAGGTGGGTAAAGCGCTTAATTTTAAACAAATTAAATGCAAGTGTTTTGCTAATAACCAGCAACGCTTATACACGCACACAAAGAAGAAGTGCACTGTGTGGTAAGGGAGGATATCATGATGCATATTATGAATAAAAGCCCGACAGTCGTTCAAACTTTAAGTAGTTGCAAGAGTTTACCAAACCCTAACGGAGTACCAATCTATGCATTCGATATGAGATTAGAGATTAACAAAAACATGTCGTGGGAATCATATCGTGGTTAGCAGATTCATATCCATGTTAGAATCCGCAGAATTCGTGGACATTACTAAATGCGAGTATGATAACTTTCATAGTTACCCATTTGAGCGTCTCATGCCTATTTGCAATTATAGAATTGAATGCGTAATCCTTAATTGTTCATAAAAATAAATGAGCAATCCTATCTATAAAAAAGATAAATCATTCATTATGTTATAGGGATAATATTATTTATTTCAAAGGAATTAAGTTACAATGTTTGTACATATGGTCTGGCTCTCATAGCCATTGTAGTGGTCCGGGGAAGATCGATATGTTTACTTTCTAAAGTTGCATTATGCATAGATAAAAGTCACCTAGACCGAGAGACGAGACTAAGACCAAGACCAAGACCAAAACCGCGACTGAGGCCGAGACCGAGACCGAGACCGAGACCGAGACCGAGACCGAGACCAAAACCGAGACCGAGACCGAGACCGAGACCGAGACCGAAATCAAAACGAGACAGAGACGCGACCGAGAAACAAGGTTAAATTTCATGTTTTCACGATGTGCGTGTGTGGGAGTTGGGATTGATGAGGGTCACCCCCTCACTCCCCTAACCTCCGATTCCTTGCAGCGTCTGCGCGTGGGGCAGGTAAGATTGGGTTTCAGCGGATTTTCTGCGGTATTTCAAAAAAAAATGTGTACTACACAACTGATGGTTGCATTTGGCCGTCGATAAATTGCCCTAGTATCATGTAGTACGCGCCACGGAGCCTCCGGTCATCGTAATTTTTTTGACGTAATTATCGTTGATAATGAGTAAAAAATAGGGTTTTTCTAGTCGAGGTGTGTGACAGAACAGAGCTGACTGCCGAGTGAACATGGCACAGAATCAGATCGGTGAGCTTATGGCATATATCTAGAACGAGTTGTACGGGGCATGACTGTATTCTCAGCACACGCAGAACGTCTGTACGGTGCAAGATACGCCACTCCAATGGTCGGGGTGAGTACCACACTTTCACCAGGAGCACTCGTCTGCGTGGCCATAGTTGGGGAGAGTGCAGAGTGTGGGATTAGACGGGTTGTGATACTTTGAATAAACCTTTCAGACTACGGCCATCCCGGAGCGCATAGATCTCATCACACAGAATCCTATACACAAGAGCGTTGCATACACTTATGCACAAAGCATCGTCAACTCAACTTGGGTGTTACCGATACAACACATACAAGTCCATTTGTACCGGTGGTTGCAAACAAACGAATTACGGTAGATTACTCAGACGAAAAAACATCCCTTTCGCACAACAATGTA